CAGGTCGCAGAGACATTCAGTTCTAAACCCCAAAACCCCAAAACCCCAGATTAGAATATTGCAATTGAATGTTAAAATTGATATTTTATTTGATTATAAATTTAATGAAACAACTTTCTTAATCTAAGCCAGCAGGCAAAAACTACCACGCAAATGATCCTTAATTGATGCAAATTCTGGAGATTTAGAGAGCTTAGCGTCATTATAATGACTAGGATGATGATACGAGATCGATTCACCAGAGAAGCATTTAGAAGAAGGTAGATATATTTTCAATTTACTGATTCGATTTACTTATTTGCCTTATTCTTGATAATTATGATTGTTTAGGATTATGATTATTACAAAGGTGTGGATAGTTCATGGAACATTCCATCTAGACTTAGTCCTAAATTTTATCAGTACTCCAATGAAAGCCACAAATTCAAAAAGTCCCCACGAGATCTAGAGGCAGTAGAGAATAAGTTTAAAGAAAGGTAGCAGCGAAAATTAATGAACTCAATTCTAAGACTTAAGTCTGAGAGTCAATCTCGGTATATTCAACGAAAGCTAGAAAGAGAAATAGTAATTACCATTAATCATAGCTTAATTTGAGTAGATATCATATAAAGCAAATTAGCCTTAGAAAATGGATGTGTCTGTAGACATTGAGCAAATGTAGCAGGAAGACCCACAGCTATTTGAGGAGCTGTCATTTAAAAAGCGGTGGACTTTCATGTCCAAGGATCCATCAAAAATACTAAAAAATCCAAATGCTGATAAATTTGGCTTATGGAATTAACTTAATCAAATTCCTTAAGAAAAAGTTAATAGGATTGTGACTGACAAAGTACTAAAGATGGATTAAGAATCCTGTAAGATGATTCTAGAGGGAATCCTTAAAGATCAAAAAGAAAAGGATTATAAAATAAAGATACAGAAAATGGATAGAGAAGTACTTAGAATGAGGCTGAAAACAAGTCATAACAAAACATTAGAGGTAGATTCTTGATTTTATGTGTATATATAGATGGAGGAGAAATGTGGTATCAGGACAAGCTATTAAAGTGAGAATAGAAGAACTTAAAATCATTCAGCATTCAATACAGAGTTTCCTGTAAGTTTTATGACTAACTAGTGATTATTTAGTTGGATCCTACTGTTTAAGAAAGAATCAATCAGTCGCGAATATCAAATGGTTCATTCAACATATTTTCAGGATTTAGAGATATATAAAACTCAACTTAGCAAGTGCTTAATATAGACAATAATCAACCAGGGCCTGATTCCTTCAGAAATCAATCTTAGATTTCAAAACTTACATAGACATAAGAGCCCTTTAAATTGAAGTTTATCTCACCAAAAGTATATGCTACTAATGAGCAATAAGACATTCTAGCTCTTAACAAGCCTGAGTATCATTCAAGAGATTTTTTCGCTAAGCAAGAATTTAGAGGTCTTTTTCTAGCAGATAATCAGGAAGCTATAGGACAAAAAGCTTTTCAATGTGTAGAAGAGCTCAATGATAAAGTATTGTCGAAGTTCAAGACGCTATAATCTTTTAATGAGTAAATAAGGCAGAGTAAGACTATACAAAGCTTTTATAAATCTATCATAATTCCCTCAATCAACAATAAATCAATCTCAACTAAGGGCAGACTAAGCACTAGTGTGAACGACATTTCGAAAAATGAAAGGTCAACAGCAGATTATAGTATAGCTAATAAGACTGAAATGAGTTTTATGCAGCAATAACTTATGGAAGATAGTAAGTTAGGCCAGACTCAGGATACTAATACTACGAATAAGACAAGTAATCTAGTAAATAATCTCACTTAATTGACAAAAGAGTCTAATTAAGTTTAGACTCACAGGGAATAGGACTTAACGGGCTTAGATTCAAACTTGGACAAACTCAGAGCTAATACAAGCATGAATCCGAGAAGAAACCTGTCTACTATGACAGAGACCGGCAGCAAACTAATAGAGCTAAACGACTATAAATAAGCATTGAGAAATTCAAACAAACTTTAAATCACAGAAGAGGATGGGTAAGTTTCTGGTTAAATAATCTTTAAATTTTAGAATTACAAGTGCCTAAAAATCGATTAACAAAAGCTTCATTTCAAGTAACTCTAATCACATCCGAAATCATCCAAATCCAAGGACAGGAACTTCTACTATGAACAAGATGAAGCTTGACCCAATTAATTAAAACAATTATCACTAGGTGCAAAATGATTATGCGGAAACTCCAATGGCTGAAATCGAAAGATTTGATAAGAGATTCTCTAAGAAAGGAAAAAGACAATTCAAGTATCCAAATATTGAGCTCAAGAAAATTAGGGACCTTAATCATAAAGAGCAGCTATTATTGCAAAACTCAATTTAAGTTCAATTAATGAGTTGATTGATGAAAATTGACATCCAGCAGGACATTCTAAATGATTGAGATTCTTAGCTTAAGTTTATTATACTATACTGATTTTAATGATGGTCAGTGAGATAAGTTATGATTAATAAGAAAAATTATTTCATACATTTAAATTTATTAAAGTAATATTTAACTTTATTATAAAAATAGAGCAGAATATCGATAATCAGAGTTTAGTATTATACATTCAAGGTGAATCAATATGTCTACAATAGCTGAACTTTTTGGCGATGAAATTTCAGATATTAAACAACGTGTTAAGGTAATCATCCTTCCATAAACCCACTAACATATATTGTTTAGTCTGAAGAAGAAATAAAAAAATACTCCACAAATGAAGATCTTGGAGAGGTGAAGAGATCAATATACTTACTAAAAAAAGGCTATTAATCTTAGAAGATTACCGTAAGATTTTTAAGCAATAGGCTTAAGTGGTTTAATTCTCTATAGATCATAGAGAATTTGAGCAGATTAATGAAGGAGCAGGGCTCTAACGAGGAACTTCTACCTATAATACTTGTATTTTTCGAATTTCACTCTAATTTAATCTTTAATGAAAATTATAGAGTTCAATGGAGATATGGGATGAATAGATGCAAATGTAATGTGCGACAAGTTTCTGCAAAGAGGATGTAGTGAAACTTATGAATAACGGAAACTAAGTTAAACTCATGGAAGAGTGCCTGAATATCCTACTCAATGCTGATATAACACATGAGGATGTAATTTAATAGAAATTACCAGTTTCATATATCACTAACTCACCTTAAATTTATAGTTTGTGAATTAATGGATCGAAGTATTTAAAAAGCTAGTTTTATACATACCGAGTGAGAGCATTAAGCAACTTGTTATAAAAAGGATAATTGACTTGCCCTCTTTGAAACAGTAGTATCCTTGGAGAAGAGTCGGCTTTGAATTGTTCTGTGGCATAATCGATGCGAAGGGAGAGGAGATTCTTAAATAAGACAACAATATCTTGAAAATATTTTCAAGTATGTGCGTTGACACCAATTGGAAAATAAGAAAACAGGCTGCATAATTTCTATTCTAATATCTATAGCCACTACACCAAATGAAGAAAAAAAGTCGACACTCAAACAAAGAAGATGATACTCCTAAGAAAAAAGAACAACTTTAGCAAAGCATACTACCAGAAGTGGTGAAGGTCACAAAGACCCGTTTCAAATCTCATTTTCACGATATAGTTGTCGAACTTGCTCACGATGAGGAAATCTTAGTACAAATGGATGGTGTTGAATTAATGACTGAATTCCTGTCTGTTTTTAAAAAGTAAACAATTGAGAGTGACTACATTCCAAATGTTGACAAAGTTTTAAAGAAAGCTTTAGATACTGTAACTGTAGATGAGATCAGACTTAGAGTGACGCAATATTCTGGTAAGATACTAGACCAGTTGCAAAAATGTCAAATGGCTCATAAGAACGAAGAAATGATGATGGATTTCTTTAAGTAAATTATTAGAGATAAAAATCCTGAAGTTAAGCTTAAAGGTGTTTATAATCTGCCATGTTTTGTTATGAATTATCTAAATTATAAAGAAGGAAATTTCGAAGTATTTGAAGATATATATGTTGATTTGCTAAGAGATGAAACAGTAAATAAAAATGAGATTAAGAAAATTCTCTCAGCTAGCATACATGAAACTATGGCCTTGATTCCCTACTCTTAAAGTCTTGGAAATATTGGTGATTGTCTCAGAAAGCTTATGATTGAATCAAATAAAGAAATTAGAGAAGTTTTTTCATACAATATAGATAAAATCATTCGGTATTATGTGAAGGAATAAGATTTTTAAGTCCACATGTAATTGGTGAATAAGAGTTAAACAGCTATTAGCATGGGTCAAAGTGCATTATCTGGTGGAAAAGAGTAAGGCTATAAAAATTCAAAGGCATTTCAATTTTAGACTGAAGATCTATCCTAGAGCAATAATAGAATAGGAACAGGATAAAAATAGAATAGGAAAAATGTTTTTAGATGGGAGGATGATTCCCAAACAATTTAAAATAGTTCTAGTGAGAACAAAAATTAAATGGTGAGATTGCAAGACTATGTTGATATAGAATATGTCCCTGAAGAGAATATGAAGGAATTTTATTATTCAAAACTCCTTGATGATATTCTAGTTCTAACTAAAGCAATTTTCAATGATAAGGGTTGCTGGAGAGTATAAGAGCAATTTATTTATAGTTTCGCTAATTAACTGGGAAATTTCAATGCTGTTGAGATTTTTGAAAACCTCGGATCATAATTGATAGATCTATTGAAATATGGCTGTGATTAGATTAAGAATGCAGCTGCTCTCTTTGTTTGCCACATGATTAATAATCAATACAAGTAAAATAGAAGAATCAATCTTATTGAGATGGTGGTAAATGAATTTGGTAAAAGTGCAAGCTATATCTTTAGAAAAAGCTACATTACATTTTGCTCAAATGCAGTAAAAGTATTTTCAGTCAAGACTTTTAAGCAATATTTCATGGAACCTTACTTAGCCCTTTGCACTGATAAGATAGTTGAGGTAAGGTAAAGATTCCTTCAATCAGCACCCATGATAAGGCCATATCTAGAACATGACATTGACTTGATACTATGATACAATGATCTCCTAAATAACATGAGAGACAACGATAACTCTAAAAATATAGTAGAGCTATCCTAAAAAATAGATCAGCAGCTATTAAAGCAGAAGAATAGTAATATGGTTTTCTTTACAGAAAATGAAGAAAGCAAAAAGCTAATATTTGAACAAAAATTGATAGATAGAGGCAAGTTTGAAGAGATAGAGAGAAAGAAAAAGTCTGAAACACAAGAAGACTCTAAATTCGACTATTTGACATTGTTAGTCAATACTACTAAAAAGTACGGTAATATGAGAAGAGGTGGTGGAGGAGGCATGGCATTCAAGCAAAATCTAAATAAAAAGAACATATCAAGTGCAGGAATTAAGCAGTTCTCATCCCCACCTGTAGTTGGTAAGGCTGGAAACATGCTAGAAAAATAGAATAAAGCACTATAACTTTAGAATGGTAATCTATCTATTAATATTTCTGTTGCACCTATTTAAACAAGCACTAATAGCAGTTAGTTATCAATTAATTCTAACTAATTAATCCCCAACTAGCCAAACCAGGGTCAGTCTAATCACTTTAAGAGAAGAACAGTAAACATAATTAGTGAAACTAAAAATCAGAGTGGTCTACTGCCTCCTATCGGCTAGCAACTCAAAGATCCCTAACAGAATAATTAAATAGCTATCAGAACAGTGAGGAAAAGCGAACTAATTCTTCAGCAATAAATTAACAATCAAGACCTATAGAACTCGAATATTTAATCCAACTAAAATCATCTACATTAGAGTGGATTAATAAATATAAGCAAAAGATCAATTCAGCAGAAGTATCAGATACAGGAGTCAGGTGTAGGTGGCCCGAACAGTCCAACAATAAGCGTAGGTACAACTTCCTAAACAATCACTATTATCCCCTCTGAAGTTTAAACTATTCTAAAGAGAAACCAAATAAATGTGAACAGCAACTAATTCAATACAAACTAAAACACCTAGTTTTCTGGCTTGCATCATTCGAACACTGGTGGTGGAGGAATAACCAGCAATAATAATTAGAATGGGCCATATCAGAACAACTACTTGAGTGCAGTTCAGAATTAGAATATGCAGAACTTATCAAAGTAAGATCAGCTTTTAAATGTGGGGCTGCTTTCAGGTCAGCGTGATGGCACTAAAAAGAGAGTGAGTAATGATGACTTTGAAAAGGCCCTACTGTCAAGTGGTGCACACAGTGGAGTTGTTTCAAGGACTAACCTAAATTCATAAAACTAGAAGCATTGACAACTTCCACCTCTAAAGTAGCTAAAAGGCAACAACTGAATATCCGGCATTCAGACAGTGCAGAAGAGTAGTGGACGGTATCAGCCCCAATAGAACAGTCAGGCTAATGTGTCACTGCCTACAAATAAGTTGCAGAGGCGGGTGACTGGGGATGCAAAAACTCTTTCAACGATATCATCCTCCTAGACGACTCGAAGTTGCAACGAGCTGCTGACCAACAATGTAGGAATAATTACGTCCACTACTCCCTATCAGCAGCAAACTTCTTCGAGTGCAGCAGGAAACAATACATTTGGAAATAGCAGTGGCAACAATAACAACGATATTGAAAGTGATGAAAGCGGAGGAATAGGTCCAGAAGACGATATCATCAACAGCGGAAATAACATCAATATTTATGCATGATTAGCTCATGCAAGAAGAAGAAAGTCACACTTATGAATGCGTGAAAGACTGGTGAAAATGGGCCAAATTGGCATTAATGTACATTGGCGAAGAGATTAAAATAAGTATGTAAATAAATACTCGAATCAACAAGGGAGCATTTTTATATGAATGATAAAAAGAGAAGTTATATGGTTGGTACTCTATAAATTAAGAAATTGAGACGGAAAGTTTTATTACAGTAGTTCTTATAATTAATATATATTCTCTAAAGATTACTTTCTGTACACTTCTTCTCATTATAATTAACAATTTATACATTTTAAAATATTAAATTAAAGAAACAATGGCAACAAACACAGTTAAACTTAATGACAAGTGGAATAGTAATCAAACTCTAAATTTCTTCAATATATTAACTTTTCTTAGTGAATGCAAGTGTGAATCATTCAATTGGCAACTAAGGGTCTTAGATTCATGGTTACTAGTCAAACAGCAGAGCGGCATCCCGTGGTCACCAGAGCAAGGGCAAAAATAAGTATACTCTGGCACCTATTGATCATCAGAAATCTCTCCAAAAAGTCAATTAGACTATGCTTGCTATCCAGCCTATGCATTAGCATTTTAATCCAATGGGTTAAGCTCCTTCTCACTAACAATCTTATCAAAACATGATGAATCCTCAAGTAGCGCCATCATATGGAAGTCCTGGCCAATACTAGGGAATGGGATCGAATATTGGAAACAGTGCAAGCAAAAATAACAGTTTCAATTAGAGAGCCAATAGCTTTATCGGCAATTCTGGTGGTGGGTTATAACCATTAATGAATCAATACTAGATGTCGCCTTCAATTATGAACAACTAAATGATGATGCCTTATTAAGACCCTTACCAAGGTGGCTATATGAATCCTGCTATGTATGGAGGGAACTAATCTCTAGTTCCATTTAGAGGAGCCTTGAATCCTCGTGAGTTCGAAATGGAATTATCTGGCATCAGAGCTGTAGACGAAGTTCAAATTGATCACACCTCTGTTCTCGCTATAAAAAGAGGAGATTTAGCTATCATTTAAGGAGAGGTATTTAAATGTTCACCTTCTGCTCCACATTTAAGAGATATTCCATTGGTACTAAAGAGGCTTGATTGTGTTGACAGGAGAATATATGACTTGAAAGTTTACGAACTTGATACTTTTATGAGATTCAGAGGCCATCCAAATATCATTTCTTTGTTTAGCTATTGGGCTGAGAAACCTAGCAGCCCCTATCAATATAAGTCTCTAGTTTGCTTATTTGAAGAAGCACTCCTTGGTGATATGCTGAAAACTGTGGTGTTAAACCCAGTAAGACCTTCAAACAGACTGGCTATGAAGTATCTTTGTGATGTTTGTAAAGGATTAGCATCACTTAATAACTGTAACATTATTCATGGAAGCGTCAAGCCTTCATCAATATACATCTAATCTGACAATACTGCAATGATTGGTGAATTGGGCAAAGTGGAGTTAGATTCTGCAAGACATACTCATTAACTCTTCTCTAAGGTATTGATTCAGGATGCGATGCCACATACTTTAGTTTACTGGGCTCCAGAGGTGCTCAGATTAGAAAGGTATTCAACTGCAGCAGATATGTGGGCTCTTGGTATAACAATGTATCAAATTGTGACAGGGGAGCATCCATTTAATGTAACCAATGAGGAATCATTTAGAGATGACTTGTTCTCAGCTAATGTAGACTGGTCAAGAATGGCAGGCTATCCAAGGCTTAAGATTATTGTTGAAAATCTTCTTAGAGTTGATCCTTATAAGAGATGGGATGCAAATATGGTCCTTGCTTATGCTTAGGAATACTTTGTAATCGATATTCAAAGAGTTTGGAGAGGATGTAAGTTGCACTATTATTATATTAATGTCATTGTAGATTAATAAAGAAGGGAATTCAAGAGAAAATGTAGAGGTCTTGTGATGATGCAAGCCCACATCAAGGGCTTCGTGACTAAGATGCGCTACAGAAAAGATAAGGTGTTCAGGAAAGACTATGCAGCCAGAAGGATACAGTCTAGATTTAGATCGTATCAAGCTAGAAAGATATTCTTAAGATAAAAGCATGCTATTATGAAGTGTCAGGCAAACGTCCTCACAAGGCAATACCGTAGAGCTTACTTGAAGATGAGAAGTGATGCGATCATAGCTTAGCAGTATATCAAGCGTTTCCATGCCATGCTTTGGTATAAACGTATCAAGGAGAGCAAAGAAAGTTTAGAGAATCACATTGAATCTATTAATGAGATGATTAACAAGTTTAACCTTGATGCTAATCAGTTTAAGAACTAATTTGCTAGCAAGGAGATTACAAGTAAGAATAAATTCATTGCAAATATGTTTTATTAGAGCCACTTGAGTACCTTAATAATTTTGAGTAATATGAAATGATTAAAGCGAAAAGAGGTATGATAGAGCAGTCTCATGTGCCGAAACTTCATTAACTGACTGGGGAATACGAAAAGTTGCTTGAAGAGAATAAGAGACTTCAAGAGGGCCAGAATGCGGGGGGCAATAGGAATCCTAATGTTCCAGATTACCTTAATGATGAGTCGCTTAAGAATCAACTGGGTGATAAGTATAATGAACTGGGTGATATGGTCAACAATCTGAAAGAAAATTTACTCAGAATAGCCTAGTAAGCAAAGTCCTCCCAGCCTCTTCAATTGAAAATGCAGCATCCTTATCAGTATTCGAAATGGGACTCTATTCATGAGCCATACAATATAGTTGAAAATGTCTTGAAGGACGATGAAAGCGTCTATAAGGCATTGACTCCGTAACTAGACTTTACTCTTGGATAGGGAGCTTTATGCTATGTATCTGAGGTTGTATTGCATCCAGGGGATTGTGGTCCTGCTACAGTGGAGATATATGTTTCGAATACGATGGACAAGTGGACTTTTGTGAAATAGTATAACTGCACTAAGCAAGGAGCTTAGAAACTTGTAGTACCAGGTGAGCATGTCTGCAAATATTTGAGAGTAAGATGCATAAACAATATCAGAGGTGGTAACCTTGTCGATATAAGATTTATACTAATAAAAGGTCTCATAAAAAACCTCTGATCTAAAGTTATATGAATATTTACAATTACTTTATTAACCTATCTTAATTATCATAATTTATTATTCCATAAATAATAATTGTAACTCATTAATATTCATAAAGTGTCTTGTGAATTCATTTAGACTATTAGTCACTTAGTCATTCGGTTATCATTCATACAGTAAAGATAAAACATCTATTCCTTCTCACAGTTATTGTCGCTTTTTCCCTCCAAGCACTTGATCATAAATTCCTAAGCTTATTTACAGTTTGTGTCTTCATATAAATTAATCTTTCTCATGTTGGATCTCAATCTCTCCCTACATATATTTATAGCTGAGTTTAATCAAAAGCTTACTTATCTGGATCAGAAATCAAGTATTCACCAATAACATTTTAAGTAGATTGATAGACCTCATTCAAGATGCTTATCTACTCCTTTGATATCTCTTGCAAGTTCTATTTCTGTTGATTCATATAATCAGGAGTCTAAACGATAGAGGTTAGAGCAAACCAATTAATAAAACATACCTATATTCTCTCCTCTTATTTTAATCTAGGTGTAGTTATCAATCTTGTTATATTTCTGGGATCAAACATGGCTGAGATTGGTTATTCCTATTTAGCCTCAGTTTCAGATCTATCACTCTTTGTTGCTTGTCTAACCTGCCTTGAAGCTATCTTTTTTTAGCGAGTTTGTAGCTCTTGATCCTATTCTTAAGGCAATTCAAAATTATCAAAAAAGCCTTCTTCAATCTAAAATATTTTTGGAAATCAAGGAATTTATAGTATTTACTTCGACTTATATCTTGGTTTTCCTAAAAAGCATCATCATTTTTATTGGTTTATAATTAAAATGATTTATAATATTTCCAACATCCATTGATTCAACAATTCACTTGATATTCGGAGATTAGGGGTTTTGGGGTTTTGGGGGTTTGGGGTTTTGGGG